GTGCCTGCCATCAGTGGCCTGACGATTGCATATAAGCATGAAACAGACTGCCACCTCTAAGTGTTGACTTCTATGTTCACTTTTATATTCCCACACGCTCTATCTCTGATATTGAGCACTTTATCCCATAAATATAGCACACCTTAAGACTATATTTCTTCATATATATATAGAATAGAAATAAACCGGGCATTTAGCCATTGGGTGTGTGTCTTCTCCTAATTTCCAGTTGAAAACTTATTTTCGAAGAAAGGTGCTAACTAGACATACACTTTACTACACTATGAAGTTGTTAATTAATCTTCATATTTTTTTCTGTTTCATATGACATTATCGTATTTCTATATATTAATAAACTATGGAAATAAAATAAGAACATTGCTGGCATATCAAATACCTTTCGTAAATAATTGTTAATAGCACCTGCCTAATTTTATGTTTTATTATCTATTATGTTGAATGTATTTATGATCTTACTGTTTCAAATAAGGGTTTTTTAAGTAGAGTAAAATTTTCTGAACTGAACAAGTGTACTTGCGATCAATACGGGCTCGCCTTTTAACTTTTAATTTTCATTCAAATTTTCTGGTATTATACACGAGAAAATACGATAAATTTTAAATATTTTAATACAACTGTTATGAATAAGAGTGGTCTCCCCTTGTTTTGTTACTCTCCTCTTTGAGAGAGCTATCTCTGTTTACTGGGACTATAAAAAGACACTACACTAACCTTGTATTCTCAGGTAAATAAAGCTTTCTTAAATTAAATTTGTCATCACACTTATTCTGTTTACTATATTCTTTACCTTTACTGGTATTATTTATTTTACTTATGATTGGTTGCTACACATTCTTAAAATATTTTGACAAGATGCATATTCGGTGACAGCTTGTACTATACAGTGTTATAAATAATCAAGAGTGGTCTCCCCTTGTTTTGTTACTCTCCTCTTTGAGAGAACTATTTGTTTACTGGGTACTATAAAATGACACTCTACGCGAACCTTGTATTCTCAGTTGAATAAAGGTTTCTTAAAGCCTACACCTGCGCACTTTTGTCATTACAACAACGTTAACTGAAATATTTACATATTCTAGCTAAGGTTATACCAAAATTGAACAATACGTATTTAAAACTTTTACTAAATATCATGAAATAAGAACCATATCAGTGATACTGTTTACTTTTAACTTTCATTAAAATACGGTACACGCAATTGTGATTATGGAAAACGTTATAACATAAAAAACGTAATGAGCTGGGTCAGTGCTTACTGCTCCCGAAGCTCCCGACCATATAGTAGTGTGGGGGATAAGCCTTATTTGGAGCCCTAGGCAGGGCTTTATGACCCTCGCTATTTTATAAACATCTGCTTTTTCTTACATGCATGACTTTATCGTACAAATGCTACTCTGATTCTCTCAATATTTCACCTTTTTTGGCAGATTTTCTATTATCAAAATGTGGAATATTTCATGAGAAAAGTGATGGAAACATGCAGACAAAGAAAGTAAAATCGACTAAACATAAAATATATATTTAAAAAATAAAAATTTAATTTAAAATTCTCATCAACCCCGTCCTTCAGTCGTATCAACGTAAACATCAGGTTAGTCTGATGAATTCCTAATGGCCGAAACGTCTCACCCGAAAAGTTTTTTTTTTTGCCTAAAGCTTATGATTATACATTAACATAAATGCAGATAAATTTACCATCCTGCATCATCTCTCAACTTGATATCTACTCTGACGTCATAGCAATTTACTCCTGCCTCGATAATGAGGCTGATCAGTCCGATAAAGTCAAAATGGCAGCCGATGTCCAAAACGACATCAAGTCCGTAGTAAACTGGGGCAAAAGATGGCTTGTTGATTTTAACGCCCCCAAAACTAAATTTCTCTCCATTAATTATCTGAGAGACCCCTCTCTGCCTTGCATCACCATGGCTGATGCTATCCTCCAGGAAAACAACTCGTTGCGCATTCTCTGGCCTATGTTCTCTGCTGATATGATATGGAAAGACTATTTGAATCCATTGCTAGATCAGCTGCTAAGAAAGTCAGTTCACTATGTCGGGCAAGATAATTTTTTTCTCCATAATCTATCTTACATATATATAAGTCTACCATTCGTCAATGCTTAGAATATTGCTGCCATATATTGTGCAGTGCCTCTGCTATTTACCTGGAGCTCTTTGATAAGATTCCAAGAAGAATCATCAAAATTATTGAATATTGAATCAATTGCTAAGTCTACTGATATGGATGTTGGTTCACTATGCTCTTGCGTGGGATGCAAGTAACAAACTTCACAAGATTTGGCGCTCGAACCTTCCATCTTTCTTAAAAGTCTAACCCTTTCGAATATTGATTGAACAAGTCCTACTGTAGGGATCTAGACACTTGGACATTATCTGTTCGTCTTGAAAGACGACTGGATGGAACATACACATATCTACTAAGAAAAATCCATAGAACTAGTTGAAGATCCCATGCAATGCTTAACACTATTTACAGTGAACTGTGACAAATCTCTCTTAAGCTTTGCCACCGAGCGGGCAGCGAATTCGTCTCATCCTTACTCCGATGGCATCCTTCTGTCTTCTCACGAAAATTGATTTTCCCCGACACCATAGCTCAGGACTCAGGTTTGGACATTCGGGATCTGGGGAAATCAATACAGGATCGAACGTCGAAAGATATTGTCAATGGAGTTCCGAACAACCATAGGGAGGTCGAAGGATGATACTGATGATGATGATAATGATGTCCTTGTTTGTAGCTGTTAAATCCAGAACATCAAATGGAGATCCCATGCAGGGCTTAACACAATTTACGGAGAACTGGGACCCAATCTGTCTTAAGCTCAAATAAAAACGATTACAGTTTGCCGGACACTACCACCAAGCGGACAGGGAATATATCTCATACTTACATCTATGACATCCTTCTGGAAGTGTCTTCTCACGAAAATTGATTTTCCCACACTCCATAGCTCATGACTCAGGGTTGGGCATTGGAGATCTGGGGATAGCAATACCGGACTGAATATTGTGGAAAGGGATTGTCAATGGAGTTCCGAACAACCACAGCGAGGTCGGAGGAGGAGGAGGATGATAATGAGATAATATTTATCTTCAGAATCTAATCTCCATATCAATACGTCTGTCATTGGTCCATGCTTAGAATATTGCTGTCATATATGATCCAGTACCTTTGCTATTTACCTGGAGCTCCTTGATAAGATCCAAAGAAGAATCAGCAATATTATTGTCTCTGATCTGGCTGCTCGGCTTCAGTTTCTTTCTCGCCAACGTAATGTCGGCTCCTTTTAGCTTTTCTATAAATATTTTCCAATTGATCGGACGGACTCTTCGCTCTAGTACCTTGAATTTATGAATATAAACGCCGTACCAGACTGGCGATGAGGTCTCATGGATTAATAGCTGAGTAAGCTAGGCGTAACCGTAAGTTCTATGCTGACAGTTTCTTTTCTCGCACTTCTCGCTTGTGAAACTCCTTTCTGGTTCCATGCTTTCGAGTCAACTCAAAAATTTAAATGCAATGTCAATCACTATCTACTGATTAGTCTTCTTTTATTCTCGTTCCTTTTTAATGTGTCTGTTTTACAATTCTTCCACAGTCTTGTGTCTTAGTGGCTTTACTGCCTTGCTTGGGGTGAATTTGAATAAAAATAAAATGTAATGACAATTTTTGCTATCGCCAACTTTGCAGATGAAATGATATACGAAGCCTTCAGCTGTATTTTCACAGAACGTGGATTTTTAAAAGTTGTTACTTCGTAAATGATTAAAATTTTAGGGGTTTTTTGTGATTTTTTTCTTTTAGAATTTTATAGATTTTAAATTTTAAATAAGTTCATGTGTCTGTTTTGCTTTTACAGATTTTTCAGTCTGCTTCATTCTTTCTTATTTTGACCTACCGTAATTCCCCATGTATAATACGCCTTTATCCATAATACTCACCCCCTAAAATTGTGCTGAAAGTGTGAGAAAATGCTTCTACTCACGCATAATACGCACCTCTTGTTTGCTAACGAAACCCTCTAAATTGTACTTCTGCAATTTCATTAAGGCCAGCATTTCCTACTCTTATTCAAGCTGTAATTGAAGATATTTATCAAAATTTCTGATCATCCCGATTCTAAAAGGAAACGGAAATACCTATATTGTGCCTACTGCGCAGACTCATTAACCTGATTTTGTTTGATAAAATGTGCAATCTACAGGATCTGTATGTAGTTTTTTTTACAAAAAAAAAATGGTTTTAAACATAGAATAATATTTATTCTAATTTAGTTTTATGATAATACTTATTTTATTTTACATTTGTAAGTATTGTTAGGTATATATGATTGTATTTGACATCCTTATGGGGTCACAATCGCCGAATGTTAGTGTCAAATTGTCGTATGTTTCTGGTGAGTAATCATTTCGCAACTGAAATCGACTTATGAAACGGCAATATTTTAAAGACGTTTTTGTAGCTGTGCATAATACGCATCCCTAATATTGCTTATTATTTTTTAGAAAAAAAAAGTTTATTATACACGGAAAAGAGTTTGTTGGCCTTTTTTTTTCTATACCTGATCTGCCATGATTGATTTTGTTGTCGTGTCTCAAGTAATGGCTTTTCGATGTTCCTTGCGTTTAAACCTTAGGTAGCAGCTGCTTTTTCCTTCCTTCTCTCAACGATTAACTGTATTATATATTATTTATAAAGTCTTTGGTGATATATATATTCTTTTATTCCAAACTCTATGACTAGAGAAGATGTTAGATTTATGAGCGAGGAGTGAATCGGGTAAAGAAAGAAAGAAGAGAATATAAGGAAAGAAATAGAAAGCGAGGAATAAAAAGAAATAAGTTTGAATTAAACGGGAAATGAAAACGAAGAGGATAAAAGAAGAAAAAGAAGGAAAAGAAGTGAAGAAAATAACGAAAAAAAAGGAAGAGGTGGAAGAAAAAGAAAAAAGATCAGGAGGAAGAAATTAAGAATAAGGAAGGGGAGAAGGAGGAGAAGAAGAAGAAGGAAGGGAATAATAATAATAAGGATGAAAAGAAGGAGGAGAAAGAGAGGGAAGGAAAAGAAAAGAAAAAAGGTGAGGAGGAGGAAAATAAGTATAAGGAAAAGGAGAAAGAGAAGGTGAAGAAGAACAAGGAAGGGAATAATAATAACAACAAGGATGAGAAGATGAAGAAGGAGGAGGAGGAAGAGGGTGAAGAAGGGGGAAAAGGTAAAGGAGGAGGAGGAGGAGGAAAAGGGTGAAGAAGGAGGAAGAGGGCGAAAAGAGGGAGGAAGAGGGTGAAGAAGAATGACGAGGAGGAAGGGTGAAAAAAAGGAGGGGGAGGAAGAGGGTGAAGAAGGTGGAGGAGGAGAGTGAAGAAGGAGGAGGAGGAAGAAGAAGAGGGTGAAGAAGGAGGGTGAAGAACGAGGAGGAGGAAGTGTGTGAAGAAGGGGGAGTAAAAGGGTGAATAAGGAGGAGGAGGAAGAGGGTGAAGAAGGGGAGGGTGAAGAAGAACGAAGAGAAGGAAGAGGGTGAAGGAGGAAGAGGAGGAGGAAGAGGGTGAAGAAAAAGGAGGAGGCGGAAGAGGGTGAAGAAGGGGAGTAAGGGGTGAAGAATAAGGAGGCGGAAGAGGGTGAAGAAGGGGATTAAATTGAAGAAGAAGGAGGAGGTTTTCATTTAAAAGAAGGAGGGGGAGGATGAGGGTGAAGGAGAAGAAAAAGGATGTGGAGGATAAGGTGGATGAATAAGAAGAACGATGAGAAGAAGAAGAAAAGAAAGAAGATGAGAAACAGGAGGAGAAGAAGAAGAAGAAAAGGAGGAGGACGAGAAAGAGGAGGAGAGGAAGAAGAAGAAAAGGAGGAGGACGAGAAAGAGGAGGAGAGGAAGAAGGCGGAGGAGGAGAAAGAGGAGGAGAGGAAGAAGAAGAAAAGAAGGAGGACAAGAAAGAGGAGGAGAGGAAGAAGAAGAAAAGGAGGAGGAGGAGAAAGAGGAGGAGAGGAAGAAGGAGGAGGAGGAGAAAGAGGAGGAGAGGAAGAAGAAGAAAAGGAGGAGGACGAGAAAGAGGAGGAGAGGAAGAAGAACAAAAGAAGGAGGACAAGAAAGAGGAGAATAAAAATTATAATAATAAGGATAAAAAGAAGACAATGAATAAAAAAAGTAGGTGGAGAAAGAGGAGAAGGGAAGTAGAAGACGGAGGAGGAGAAGCAGGAGGAGGAGAAGGAGGGAGATAGGGACGTGGAAAATAAGGAGGAGTAAAAGAAGGAGGAGGAAGAGGGTAAGTGGAGGAAGAAGAAGAAACAGTAGAAGAAGAAGTAGAGTAGTATGAGGTGGAAGGGGAAGTATGAGGAGGAAAAGGAGGAGGAGGCAGAGGAAAAGTGGAAGAATAAAGAGGAGCAGTAGAAAAAGAAGTGGTAGGAGGTGGCGGAGGATGGACGAGGAAAATAAAGAGGTGGAAGAGGGGAAGTGGAAGAAAAACAAGGAGGAGTAGAAGAAGTAAAGTAGGATGAGGTGAAGGAGGAAGATCGACGAGGAAAAGGAGGAGGAGAAGGAGTAGGAGGGGGTAAATTAGACGTTGGTACAAAGACTTATAATTTAAGTAAATTTTTATTTTCAAACTTATATACAATTTGTAAACATAACCTGAAGAAGACAGACAAAATGTCGAAATATTGTTAATCATAGTCAAACACTGTCTCTTTTCTTTTTTTTTTTTTTCTTAACCCTTTGACCCTGACCACCGCTTTACCGGTGGTAGAGAAAAATGAAGTAATGCCCAACTATCGGTTGAACGGTGAGTAAACACTTATAACTATTGTTATATCTACCGTGAAACATTACATACCACTTATTTGCGAATTTTGACTCAGGATCTGAGGCAGAAGGGTTAAAATCGTTCAAGAACGCACGGCTCAAAGAGTTAAAATTCAAGAACGCAGAGCTCAAACAGTTAAAATCGTTCAAGAACGCACGGCTCAAAGAGTTAAAATTCAAGAACGCAGAGCTCAAACAGTTAAAATTGTTTAAGAACGCACGGCTCAAAGAGTTAAAATTCAAGAACGCAGAGCTCAAACAGTTAAAATCGTTCAAGAACGCACGGCTCAGAGTTAAAATTCAAGAACGCAGAGCTCAAACAGTTAAAATTGTTCAAGAACGCACGGCTCAAAGACTCAGTAAGTGCTGAAATCATAGTTTCAAAATATTGATAATCTTTGTCAAGTACTGTCTCTTATCTGTTTTTTTCTTTTCTTAAAACTTTAAGCCCTAACCACCGCTTTACCGCTTGTATAGAAAAATGCCGTAATGCCGAGCCACCGGTTGAACGGTGGTAGAGAAATATAACTTAATGCCCAACGACCGGTTGAACGGTGAGTAAACACTTATAACTATTTTTATATCTACCGCGAAACATTATATACCAATTATTTGCGAATTTTGACTGGGAGCTCAGGCAGAAGGCTTAAACTCGTTCAGGGACGCAGGGCTCAAAGGGTTAAACCTGTCTACGCTCGCCCATGTCCAGCAGGGACAAGGCACATGGAAGAAGTCTGACTTAATTAGCGCTCATCTCCAAGTGCTGAAAAACGTTGAAAAAATTACCACGGTCATTTTGTTTTATTACTGCTAGTATATTTTTCTATTATAAAAAAAATCTTCTTTTTTGGCCCAAAGAGGATTGAAATCTTATTCCATACCCAGCGATGGTTTATTACTTCCATTGTGTACATTACAGTGAACGCGGGTTTAAACTTTAAGGTTGAGGATCTATTTAGGTTCTTTTAAAAATCGTCGTTTCTTTCAATAGAGAACAAACGTCTACAATTATTTTCAGCTTAAGATCTGCCAAATACCGTCATGGATGTTCGTGACTGCCTTTCTAGTCAGTTGAAAATATCCTCTGCCGGCCATAATTCCGCGAGGCGCCAGCGTTGCTTCGTGTTCATCTTCTCTTGGAGTGTTAAAACAACCTCTGGGCAGATAGAGGTCAGTGGACAGGTCAATGCTTGTCGGTGTATCGCGTGTCCATCTGTGGTTGGCTGTTGGCCATAATCATTTAGTCAATGGGTTGGTGTTTGTGTTGGACTTGAGAAATGGGGCCGTCGAAAACTTGTGGTCAGAAAGCGTGAGCCGGCGTTGCCCAGGATTCCGAAGTTTTCTGTTTACTTCATCATTTATAATCGTGGCCAATGTCTTTTTCTATGGGGTATATCTAGACCAATGATGGCAGGTACAGAAAGAAAGGAGCATTGTAGTTTAAAAACAGTAAAATCGCCCTTGCTAACCGAAACGCTCCTCTGTGGGTCAATCGGTAAAGCACGTCAGGCTATATGACGGTTCCGTATAGGATAAAGGCTCGATTCGATTCAGGCCGGTAAATGTCGTTAATACTATTTTTTTTTTTAATAAACAGACCATTTACTTAAATAATTGTATCTATAAAAAGAACGTATAAACCTAAAAAGTGTCTTTATATATATATATATATATATATATATATATATATATATATATATATATATATAATTTACAATATTCAGACTATTGTCCTCATCTTTGTCGCCATATTTATTACAATGCTGTTCAATAAAAGTGATTCACCTGATTTTTTTTTTTACTCACTTATTTCCTGCAACTAGTAATCAATAGAAACATAACCGAACAGCTTTAAATAAAGAATAATAGAGGTATAATTTATTTATAATCGGTAATATAGTTGGAAATATTTAATAATCTATGGGTCCTTCTTTATTTTGAATAACCTTTTCAACCCTTTTTGGCATTGACTTGATTAGGTTCTGGCAAATCTCATCTTCAAGCATTGAATTCCATTCGGATATGAAATTCACAATCAAATCCTCTTTGTTTCTCAACTGCTTTCTCGAGAGCTTGTACTTTATAATGCTCCATAAGTTTTTAATGGGGTTGAGGTCAGGGGATTGGGGCGGCCATGTCATAACACTCACCTGCTTCTCATCAAAGTATTCCTTCATCAATTTTGATTTGTGACAGGGAGCATTATCCTGCATAAAAATGAGCCTGGTTGGGTTGATTTGCACCCTTTCAGCAGAAGGGAGCAGACAAGACTCTAAAATTATCTTGTACTGCTCACTCCTGAGGGTATTTTCAATAGGTTTTAAGAAACCAGTTCCTTGAAAAGAAAAGCATCCCCAGAACATTATACTGAACGGATGCTTGACAGTACTTACTGCTAAATTCAAAGAGCTTTCAAAGCTTCTTCTTCGGATTTTAGATCGCTTATCCTTTGAATTTAGCTCAACTTTCGTTTCATCGGAGAAGAGAATATTTAGTAAAAAAAAAATCAGGTGAGTCACTTTTTATCGAACAGCATTGTATATATATATATATATATATATATATATATATATATATATATATATATATATATATATATATATATATAGGCTTGACAGATACTTAAGGGCTGATGATATAGACTATACCATGTTGAGGTAATTTTATTTGCTGTAAAAAATACATATGCTCTATTAAAATAAAATATGGGGTAGTTTTAATAATCAATATTACTAGGATCCGCCGGATTATATAACAACGATAGATTACCTGTATTATATATATATATATATATATATATATATATATATATATATATATATATATTCTTTAATCGTTATATTTAGTGGATATTCGTATTTGAGTAGAGGTTCCATTTATTTATTAAACACCATATTTATTTATTTTCGTCTACCGGCCTGAATGTTCGAAAAATCTTATTAAAGAAAAGAAAAAGGATAACTTCGCCAGAAATTGAACCAGGGCCGATGGAGCTACAGTTTAGACGGGCATGCCTTGCCGGCAGGCCACAACGAGCAGTCGGTCAATTGACGTATGAGTATCTGGCAGCTTAGTTGATTTTGTTATGAAATTTTGTGTGATAATCTTAAGTGGCACTTAAGTGACTCGCTAGTGATTTACAAAGGTGGCCACATATGGAGCAAGAGGGAAGATTGTGGGATAAGATCACTGTTAGGTTGGCTGACCTTTTAGATCTTGCTCTCGCTTCTTGAAGTCGATTCTGACAAGGAGATTGAAAACTGCTGAATCCATTAAAACACGTTGATCTCTATTCTATTCTAAGCGTTCGAGAGTGCTATGAGGTATATTGACAGCTCACACACACATATATATATATATATATATATATATATATATATGTGTGTGTGTGTGTGTGTGTGTGTGTGTGTGTGTGTGTGTGTGTGTGTGTGTGTGTGTGTGTGTGTGTGTGTGATTGAATAATTACAAACATTATATCGCCTGTTGCTACCCCATAATAGGTAGTAACATTAAGCTCCGGGACTTGACTAACAATCTTTTTTTGAAAAAGCAGGATCATATGGAGTGGAGGTCAGCTCCGAGGAATCCAAAGTAATGGGTAACAATACAATCCTCTGTCAACATTACCATGAATGGGAATTCACTGGAGGGAGTGTCCAGTTTTAAATACTTAGGAGCAATCTTGTCTAAAGATGGTACCTGCAACTCGGATATCCACACATGGATTTCCGCAGCTATGGCAGTGATGTCCAAATTGGCAAGAATATGGAGGAACAAAATCAGCTTTTCAAACGAAGTCCAGACTGTACAATTCGCTGGTAGTCTCCATTCTCTTTTATGAATGGGAAACGTGGACACTGTTGGCAGATACAGAGAGAAAGATCCCAATTCATGAGAAAACTTCTTGGCATTTTCTATTGGAATGAAAATGAACCAATAGGTTTCTGCAGAAAAATCTTGAAAGTTTTGTGGGCTATCAGGAACCTAATCTTCTGGCCACTGTCAAACGGAGAAAAATGGCGTGATTTGGACACATTACAAGACATGGCATCCTGTGAAAGACCATCATGCAAAGTACCGTTGATGGTGGACGTAAGAGAGGGCGCCAATCCAAAGACTGGGTAGACAATGTCAAACAATGGACAGATATGACTATGCCAGAATTGCTGATAGCTGCCGTTGATAGACCGTTGTGGAAAAGAGTCAGTGTGGCTTCTGCATTTGAATCCGCCCAAAAGTCAAGGAAATGGTGATGATGATTCTGTCTGCTTATTTTTATCATAATCC